CCCCCAATACCTCTGGCGAGGCCTCGCCCAGGCTGAACTACATTCCCCACAATGCTCCCTGTCCTCGCGAGAGCTGGGGGAACGCTCGGTGCCAGGCGCGGAAGTCGCTGTAGCTTGGAGACGGTGCCGGGGCCTGCCCGTGACTCACTGGACGGAGCCGCCGCCCGCTATCATGGCCGAGACTGACCCCAAGACCGTGCAGGATCTCACCGCCGTGGTGAGGGGCCCGGGCCGGGGGTAGGCCTGAGGCGGCGCAGCGGGCGGCTCCGGGCTCGGCGTTTACCCCGAGTGGGGCCGGGCCCGGAGTCCTCCTAGCTGCGGCCGGCGATGTTCCCTGCGTAGGCCCGGAGCACCGAGAGCGGCCCCAGCGCCGGCCTCTGGAGCCCGAGGAGGGCCCGGGGTGGCGGGCAGGGAGCGGGGAGCGGCAGGGGAAGCAGTGACTGAAACCAGGGGGCCAGGGAATGCCCGGTGGGGGGGACCCCCATTAAATCAGGAGCGACTGTATCATGTTAACCCCTCCGCTCCCTGCCCCCCGTTATACCAAGTGTGGAGACCCAGGCTGTGCTTGACATCTCAGGGGCATTCAGGGAAGACCCATTTCTAAGCACCCGTCGTCCCCACCCTACTTGAGATCTCATCACCGCATTACAAAAAGCATCAGATCGAGAGAAAAGGGATAAAACCCGACTCCTCCCCCCGCAGTATCAATCTGGTACCGTTCATTTGGCACCACCCATTAGCAGCACTAATCCTCAGGCCTGGCCCGGTGAGGGAGCCATGGTGGGGAGGGCAAGTTACCCAAACGCACACGGGGGCTTTGGTGTCAAATCCAGGATTACACCATAGGCGTTCCCAAACCATCCCCCTCTGGCTCCTGTAGCTCTTTTTGGAGGGGTGAGGGAGGGGTGCTGGATTAGACATTGGTTTGTGCCAGCATTGGCCTTGCTGTTCTTTTGGGGACACTTCAGTGTGATGGTTTCCTCAAACCCAGGTGTTTGGCTGCCCCCCATACACACACACACACATACACTCTTGTCAGTTTAATTGGTATCACAGGGCTCTTGCTAGGCAAGAGTAGTTCAGAGCTAGTCATGTAATTTAAGAACTTTTTTTGTGTATAAGATTGAGTTGTATTTTGAAAATATTAAGTACAATTATGTTTTTTTCAGTCTTCCCTATCAGATGCAGAATGATTGTGTGGCTAAAGCATAACAATTCTGTTTTTGACACTGACTCAGTTTGTAGACCTCAGAGAAGTTATTCAGCCTCACTTTCTTCATGTGTATAATGGGGGATGTTACATGTAGAGGGGCTGCTCTAAGGTTTTGTGAGTGCATAAGCCCTGAATTATTTTTGGCATGGAGTTCCCAGAGTAATTTGTTACTTTTAACATTTGATCAATGCTGTCCAAACATATGGTTTTGTGTGAAACAAGTTGAGCTCAAAAGTGACTGCATTATGCTAAAGTATTGTAAAAAGGGATATTTTGATTGTCCTTTTTTGTCCTGTTAGGTACAGACACTGCTTCAACAGATGCAAGACAAATTTCAGACCATGTCTGACCAGATCATTGGAAGAAATATCCTTTCTTCTTGTAAAATGCCTCTGATGGAGGAAAGTGTACAACTATTTAGTATATTAAATTCTAAACTTGCAAGTCAGATTTCTAAAGCTGTTGTAACAATGCATGAAGTTGTGGTCAAGTGATAAACTGCTACTAAAGTGTAAACATTACAATTCATTTTCTTTAACTCAAACTAACTTGATGACATGAGCTGTCGCATTGATGACCTGGAGAAAAACATTGCAGACCTCATGACACAAGCAGGAGTGGAAGAATTGGAAGGAGAGAACAAGATGCCTGCTACTCACAAGAGTTAAAGTGAGGGAATTGCTTATTAGCTTTCTGAGTGATATCCTGGCTTGAAATGGTAAAAATCCCATGTACTTTAAAGGGGCTAGGATTTTACCCTCTGATTTGTGAGTCAGAGTCTGAAATCCCCGTAGAATAATTCTGAAAATGCTGTAATGAAAAATTGTATTTTGTCATGCAATGAGCTCTAGAGCATTGGTTTGTTCTCTTTAGCAAAGGATATAGAAAAACTGGATACAGAAAAACTGAAAGCTCCCACCAACCTCTTCAGACAGGCTGTTTTTTTAAGTGAAAAGTGATGCAGAATATTAGAAGTAAAAATAAAAAAAATACAATGGAAGCAAAAATAAGGGAGCAAAGTGGTGAAACAATTTCACATGGCCTCTGCTATTGATTCAGCCTGACACCGTACAACTAACATTTGAACAAACTACAGTATTAAATGCTCCCCTCACCATCTAATTTCATTGCCTGAAACCTGTCTGCCTCCCGGGCAGTACGACCAGTATGTGTTACACAATTGGAACAGTGGATACTCCAGCTGCTTTTCAAGCAACAGCTAAGTAAGGTCTGGCTTCTGGTGCAACAGATAAATACATTTAAAGAATGACAAAGTCCCCACTAAGAAAATCTCATGACTAATTAAGGGTGTTGCAGATCATGATGGACTGTTTGAAGCTACTATGACAATGCTCACCCTATGCATGGGCTTTAATTAGTGGGATAAATTTCATGGGCTCTGAGATTTCACTGAGTCAGGCTCAAAAGTCCATTTTTGTAATTATATGAGGGCAATCGAACATAGTAAAGTACTAATACCAATGCAAGATTGTAAATTAGCAGTGGTTTCATGGTGACTAGTGAAATGCTTTTGGAATAGTTTCACAACTTCAGGTATAGATCGAGATAACTTCTCTCTAATGCTGTTATGGGCACTACCTGATTTAAGAGGTTGTTAGTCTCTGCAGAGGAGACATAGTTTAGGCTATGCTTTCATCTTGAATACCAGATGAATTTCTTTTCTCAAGATGTTAAGACAAGAAAGTGAAGTGAACATAAGTCTTGATCTGGCAAGCTCTTTCAACAGAAATACTTATGAGTAAAACTGGGGTATTATATTGGAATATTCATGTGAGTAAAATTAAGCATTTAAGTAAATGGTTACATGATTTATACTTTATTTGCCCCAGAGTTTAGCTTTTACTCTTAAGTCTGATAATAGTGGAATTTTACACTTCTACTAGGTCATAGGATTAGGACATGGAATCCTATAAATGGAGAAGTCTCACTTTTTCCAGTCTACTTAACTTTTTTTTAGAAAGCTTGGATGGAGCTTGACTCTTTTTGAATTCCACAATTATTGTATATCTGCTAAGCATACTTATCTAGTGAAATTCCTATTAATAGTAATATTCTGTCTTCCCCAACAGGTTGCCAATAATTTAAGATGAACGCTGGAATACACTTTTTTACAAATCCACAGGATTACGGAACAGTTTTTTGCAACTAGTGTATGTAAAAGCATTTTATATGGTTATAGAGCTTGCATTCCTAATGTATATTGTATAGCTAGATTTAGGTTAGTATATTTTGATTTGTGTAGTGTAGTTCCACACTTTTTGAATTCTTGTTATAAGGATCAATTGTATTAAACACACACATTTGATGGATCTTAACTAAACTACTGAATTTGAGTGGATTTTTTTGTGAAGACATTTATTTTTGTTTACTATACTTTTCTAATAATTTCATTTTGATGGCTAAAAAAAAATCTAATGATTTGTCAAATTGAAAAACTACTTGTTATGTGGTAACTTAACACTTTTCAGGAGTGAAGCACAAGATTGAAATTGAGTTATAGTTCTAGTTCGATAGCGTCAGTCATTGTACCAGTACAAAATGATATTAGTAATGTTTTTAATACACCCAGTAAGATGCTCTTGGATACTTAAGATGTCAAGCATAAAGAATCAATTTTTTACTTATACTCCTAGCATTACTTTACCTACTGTATGTTGCTATGGCTAAGAATTGAAATATGACATATGATAGAAACATCCCTCCAAAGGTAAGCAACCACTGTAGCTCAAATAGGTTATTCGTTTAGAAAGCTGAGGTGCTATTAATAAATCCCATGATGAAGGGTTTGTAATAATAGCTAAGTCTTGTAATAATATTGCAAGACACTACAATGAAACCCTGCTAGTGTATGTCCATTAACAGTATCATAGTTGAAAAATATGCATTGAAGTAATGGTCTGTTACAATAAGGCACTGTCTAGGAAATGCTAGGTACCTGGTCTTTGAACACAAGTCATTGGCTTTCTGTATGAAACTAAGTTGCTTAGTTGAGAAGCGGAGTATTCAGGAATCCTGGGAAAGGAGGGGATCCAGTTATCAAGGTTATAAAATCCTGCTACTATGTGAGCAACAAATAGCTGGGAGTTTTAATAATACCCTGTTTTAGAAACTGTGTATTCGGTTACCTTTCTCTTAATCATACTTTTCTTCAATTTTTACCTGGTCCTTAAATTCCAGTCAGAGCATTTGGAAATCACAAATGTTTGTCTAAAGAACCTTTCCATACCATTTCACTTCACCATTATGAAGAAAAATGACTCTGATCAATGCTAGGATGATACTATATGACTGCTACAATACCACAACCACTTGTTTGAGAGATTAATCTAAGCAGCCACTAACAGCATAAAGCAGATATCATCCTAGCTGTTTATACCACACTTAATGTTGGTATGAGTGCCTCTAAGTTAACTTCACTGGAATTATGAAGGCAATATGTAGGTGTATGTCATTTCTCAAAACAGGGAAAATTGTACTGAGTTCATAGTAATGTTAGGGAAATTTTGTGATTGTAGGAAATGTATACTGTACCACCAGCCTTACATTTGTTGTACTGTCATTAAAATATCTAATAAAACTTAAATGGTAACTTACAATAGTCAGATCATATGTAATGTAAAATACTGTATGTGCGTGCGCAAGAGCTTTTAACTTGGACATTGTACAAATCACTAAAAGGCCTTGGCAGGGATATTTCAGCTACATTAAGTGTAATGAACAAATTATCTGATGCACACTTATGGTTAATCTAGATTTAACAACAGAATATTGAATTTATGATATGGAAATTATATCTGTGTGCTTCCAATACTATGGTAATAGGTCAAGTTAAAATTGAGTGTCATTTTAATTCTCAGATGCTGATATTTTTGTATGAAGACATTAGCAATAACCTTCTATAGGGAAAAAAAAATCAGATTTGAATTTCTGTGCAAAAGAGTTTGTCAGAGAATTGGTATTAGAATTTTTCCTTGAAGTGTAAGTCAATTTCCTCAAAACATATTTTAGTGGAAAATTTCAGCTTAATGGACAAGTTACTATATACTTTGATAACAAGATTAAACTTAGAGAAATGCTACCTGACCAGTGTCAATAGATAAATGTTAATCTGGAAAACAGTAATTTTAATGTTATGCAAAGGAATGCCTTTCACTCAGTTACATATCATTTTAAGATCTGCATAGACTGTTCATACTAATTGACTTACAATAAAGTTGTTCAAGATAAATCTAAACTGTGAATCTAACCAAGTAAGATTCCTTTTGTCAAAAATAGATAAATATATATTTGAGCTGTATTAATTCAGGTACAACAGAACATTTTTAATATGCAGTCTGCTTATCGGTTAAAAGTTGCAATTTCCCACTTCCAACCAAAGAATTAGAATTCTGTAGTTAGGGTTTTTTAAATGTGGAATCCATATAAAGTAAAAATACAGGACAGGCCTTTTATGAGGTATAATTAAAACAGATCCATTATTCTTGCTTTTTCTAATTGTGGTAGGTGGACCTGCTGGTTGGCAGAAGTCCCTTTCAGGTATAAGTGTAAATTATCAAGGTTCTATTCTGCCTTGATGGCAGAAGAATCAGTTTAGCATTCGGTTTGAGCATAATCCGTCAATTTGAACAGGCACCATTGCTCATTGAAGAAAAGGCTGGATAGTTCCTCATTTATCTTTTTTGAAACATTTACCCTGAAGTACAATAAATAGGCTCAAACTAAAATATCAAAGCTGCTATGTTAAGCCCTGGGGCTGCCATTTGATATTTCAGCCTGACAACTTTATAGTAGGAAACAAAAAGATGGCAAAAAGTCCTGTCACTAAAATCTGAGTTATCACTTATTTTATGAAGAGCAAAAGAGTTTTGTTTTTACCCTTATTACATTTGCGTCCTGTGCTGTATTGTCACACTCTTATTCACAAGTTAATTGAGTTACAAATGAAAGTATGTCCTACCCCACACCTTGCCAGGTTTAGTCTGTGCCCATACAGCAGGTGTGTTGAACAGTGTGCTTTCCAATCTGTAGTTGCTAAGGCTAGTGCAACTCTGTTTAGGATGTAGACTGTGCTGTGCTTATCCTTGTCTCTGATACCTCAATATTAGACTACTGTAGTGTGCTGTGGAGACTCCTTGAGACTATTTGGAAGCTGCAGCTAAGTCTAGAATGTGGCAGCTGCTTATGAAATGGAGCTTGATGTTGGGGGCAGATAACACTGGCACTTTGAACTGTACAAGTTGCCTTTGGGGCTCCCCAGTGGAATTGAAAGTATTTATAGTGACATTTAATCCTTAATTGGTTTGAGTTTGGGTCATCTAGGAGGCTTGCCTTTTCCCTCTTGCCCTCCCATCCTTTGTTAGGTTTGTCTATGTAGCTTGTATACTCTTCAGGGTAAGGACTCTCAGTACCATAATACATATAAACTAACTAATTAAATTGGGAGGTCTAGTAACTCACTATTGATGTAGCTGAGAAATAAGTAGCGACACTGCAGTTATCAATATCTGAATAAATTAAGGTTTCTATTTGATGCTAATTTTAAAAAAAAAATTAGTGTACAGCTTGAGATGAAATATTTTTAAAGATATGAAGATTGTCAGAGATTAGCATTTAAATGTACAGCTTAATCAATCATCTCTAATATAGAACTGAAGTATTCTGCATATTTTAATATGAAACACCTGCACATATATTCCTGCTAATGACTACTTTTATAACATCACAGATTACAGGTATGCATTTCTGGTTTGATTTCTTTTACAATTCATCAATTAAAGGCAAAAGTGACTGAATACAGTAAGTCTTTCCTGCTAAACTCAAAAACAGCTTAACTTAGATCTAATGCATATCAACACAGTGTGACAGGGGGGTGGCTAATACACACCCAGACAGCATTAAATAAAAGCTTGACAAGAAAATTGCCATTGGCAAACAAAAATTTTGCATGCAAATGCCATTACTAGGTTTGGGTCCAAGTTCACAGCTCCACTATATCCCCTAGCATATTAAAATATTGGACAGCCTTATATCTTAAGTCCGTATTTCAGATTTAGATTTTGGTTCCTTTCTCAACATTTTAAGGGTTACATGAATACAAAGCAGTATTAGTTTTATTGATTCAGACTTACTATAATATCTATAGTCTATATTGATGTAATGTTTTGATTTAGTTTTGTTCCAACTCTCCATGCCTGGTAATATGGTGGCTTCTGCATACTACAGGATCGAATTTCAAATCTGCTTCAGAGTTTGTCTGACTCATCCTAGCAGCTAGCCTGAAAAACAGTATTGAAGCCCTACTTTTACGGATTATCCTTTAACTCAAGGATAGGATGGGCCTCTCTTGGAATCAGAAGGTTGAGAATTCCAGTTGGGATGCCATGTTTATATGATTAGCTGGTAAGAAGCTGTAACCAGGGGCCTGGTTCCAGTATATCTGACAGTTTACAATATAAATCTTGTCCTTCCCCCATCATTGATGGATTAACAGCCATTTGACTGGTGAATACTGTACATTGCTTTTATGAATCGCCTTCAAACACACATGTTGCTTAAAAATCAGCAAGAGAAGTAGACTGAATTATTTTGTTCCACATTTACCACAAATTCTGAGTTAAGGACTTCTTGTAAAAGAAGTCATGCAATCTAGAAAACCGTGAAGTTGGCAGTCTGAGATACTGATGTTATAGATGCTACAGCTATAAGAAAATGTATGTTCTCATTGCACAGCCATATTAAACAGCTCAGGAATCTAGTCTGTGTGTGTGTGTGTTCGTGTTCTTGTGAACCCAAGGAGGATAGGTTACACAAAATAGCATTTGCATTTGGCAAATCCTCTGGAAATAAGGAAATTATGCTTTGACATTATTTTGCTTGTAAACTTTTGCCATGGCAGAGCTATTGTCAGACCTGGTGTGGCATTCAGTAAGGATTATGTGTATGGAAAAAAAAATCTGAAGAGAGATTGGAACGAGATTGTTGACCTTGGAAAGAAGGTAAATAAGAGGGGACACGATAAACGTATATAAAATAATGAATAGTCTAGATATTGTCGATTTGGAAGCATTTGTTGTCCCTGTCTCTCAACAGGGGAAAAAAGGGGCGGGGGAGGGATATTCAGTTAAATTGAAATGTAATTTCAAAACTGATTAAAATTATTATTTCCCCCCCACACACACACAATGCTGCCAAGGTGAAGAATTTAACAAGAATCAGAGTGCATGGACATTTATATGGGTAACAAGAACATCCAGAGTTACAGTAGTTAATGCTAATAAAATTTTTGAAAGGGATGTAACCTCAGGCTTCAGGGCTTAAACT